CCATACAGTCAAAGGCTTTGGCATAGTCAATAAAGCAGAAGTAGGTGTTTTTCTGGAACTCACCTGCTTTTTTGATGATCTAGCAGATGTTGGCATTTTGATCTCTGGTTCCTCTGCCTTTTTAAAATCCAGCTTGAACACCTGGAAGTTCATGGTTTACGGAGTGTTGAAACCTTGCTTGGAGAATGTTGAACATTATTTTGCTAGCATGTGAGATGAGTGCAATTGAGCGATAGTTTCAACATGCTTTGGCATTGCCTTTCTTTGGGTTTGGAATGAAAATTGCCCTTTTCCAGTCCTGTGGTCACCGCTGAGTTTTCTGAGTTTGCTGGCATATTGAATGCAGGAATTTAATAGCATCATCTTTTAGAATCTGAAATAGCTCAACTGGAATTCCATCACCTCCACTAGCTTTGTTCATAGTGATGCTTCCTAAGGCCCACTTGACTTTGCCTTCCAGGATGTCTGGCTCTAGATGAGTGATCACACCATCGTGGTTACCTGGGTCTTGAAGATCTTTTTTGTATAGTTCTTCTGTATATTCTTGTCACCTATGTTTATGTTTAGTTTCACCTATATAAATAAAAGATAGCAATTATATTTTACTAATGATTATGCTTTGAATTGTTAGTACTATAGATATTTCATTTAAAAAGTTATTATGCTATACCAGAGGTCGATGCTCAAAATTTTTTAACTGGTCAGAGTCTAATCAGAAATGATTGGAGACCAAAGAAGGCTTTATTTTTAGATATTTATTCTTTTCATTAGAGTCTAGTTGATTTATAATGCTGTGTTAGTTTCAGATATACAGCAAAGTGAATCAGTTATACATATACATATATCCACTCATTTTTAGATTCTGTTCCCATATAGGCCATTACAGAATACTGAATAGTGTTCCCTGTGCTATACAGGAGATCCTTATAAGTTATCTATTTTTTATATAGTAGTGTGTATATGTCAATATTGATTTCCCAATTAATTCCGCAGTCCCCAAGAAAGGCTTTAAAGCAGTGGATTCCAAATTTTGTATTCTTCAGACTCTTTACACTCTTTTATTTAGAACCCCAAGGAACCTTTAATTATGTGGATCATACTTATTTAAACTTATTTTGTTACTGTATTAAAAGTTGAGAAATTTAAAAGTATTTGTTTAGTAATTCATTTAAAGATAATAATAACAAATCCAGTACATGTTAGCATAAATAACATGTGCTATGCTGTGTTCAGTCGCTTTAGTCGTGTCTCTTTGCGACCTTATGGACGATAGCTTGCCAGGTTCCTTGTTCATGGAATTCTCCAGGCAAGAATGCTGGAGTGGGTTGCCATGCCCTCTTCCAGGGATCTCTCCTACCTGGGGATTGAACCCACATCTCCTGTGTCTCCTGCATTGCAAGCGGATTCTTTACCCAGTAGGAATTCTTTACCTGGGAAAAGTCAGGTTCTTTACCTGGGAAAGACAGATTCTTTACCTGGGAAGCCCATAAATAACATACTTATTACAAAAACCAATTCTAGTTTCCAAAACAAAACAAAGTTTAATGAGAAGAATGGCATTGTTTTACACTTTTGTGAATGTCTTTAACATCTGGTTTCATGGAAGGAATCGATTCTCTGATCTGTTCAGTACTCAAATCTGTTGTAATATGTTTTTTTTTGGATCGATGTGTGTGAAGAAAATCTCACGCAAAGGTGTAATTTGAAAAGGGAGAGTGGTTTGTAATAATCTCCTCATGTCACTGTAGATACTTTTCTTTGATCCTATTCAAAAACTTGATATATGATAGTTTTCCAAGGGTTAATTGCAATATGGAAATTGAAACCACATCAGTATACTTTTCATGCTCTGTAATATTAAATCAATTTATTTAAATCTGTAACTTTGACTAGGTCAGCATTCAAGTCTGATTTTGTAACTTTGTGAATTGGATATGTGAAAAATATTGGTTCTCTGAGTTAGGCAGGAGTTAAACAACAGCTAAAAAAATCACTTCTGTTAGTATCACCAATAGGCTCATCAGAAAATATTTATGTTTTGGGTAACTGTCAAATCATGGTGTTGGATATAAGTTTCCAAAAATTCTAATTTTTACTGGTAAATTTTAATTTTATCATTGGTAACCATTATTGTCAGTTATTTTCCTTGCTTGTTTTCAAGAAAATGTCTGCCCAACATGTAAGTCTGAGTAACCAAAGTTTGTCTGTCAGACATTCTTTCAAATATATGCAGGGTTACGTGGAAAATTTGGCTACTTTAGCTGGCTACTGAAACAGTTGAGTAAGTGCTTTTTCTTGCCTCAATTATTGCAATTCAGATGAAGCATTAAAAAAATTTTTGTTTGTTTGTTTTTACTGTGAGTGAGTGGTGAGAAGCATATAAGATAAGAGGCTGGGTACCAATACCTTGATTTGTACTAAGGCTCTTCCAGTTTTACTCACCATCTCTTTTGTACCAATAGCATTAATGTGAACACAGTGAAAAAAAGCTGAAAATATGTTAGTATCATTATGAAAATAGTTCTGACTTCATGCACTCCAAGAAAGACCTTGAGGGTTATCTCCTTAATAACTGATGGTTTAAGGTCATCCTAATACTGATCTGGGGAAAATGTCATGTCACCTTCTGTGTTTTGAAAAGTTTAGAGAAAAAGCATTTAAAATTTCTGCTACGTTAAAAAAAAGTGAGGTGTTCTTATGTGAAACCCATGACCTTGAAATAACTTTAAAAAATTTCTTTCTTTTTAGTCTAAGGGAAAACATTTAAAAGATACTGTTTTAACTTTTCTGGCATTAGCAAACAGAAATGTCCTTTTTATGGAGCCCTTTCATTCCCTCTCCAAAGCTTTTTGAATTGCAGTTTTAATTAAGGGTGACATTTTTTTGGTTTCACAGAATTGATTGTTCAGGAACAGGTCTTATTTTATTGAAGTATATTGTATGTGATAATGATAAGTATATAAGTCAATCCAACTCATGTTTTAGTTTATGAGATATAGTATCTCTTCCCTTAAATCATACAAAAGGGTGCTGTATTTGAAAAATTTAATATTTAAAGTGTAATTATTTTAATCTACCTTGTTTCTTTAAGAGTACTTTTTAATACAATCACAGATGATCATTTGAGTCTTGAGTTGTCTTAAGTGCTAATTTCATAAAATGTTTATCCAGCATATTTGTTAAAACCATGTATTCTTTCTAATCATAATCCAGGTGGCATCGAAAGTAATGAAAATGACTTTAATAACTCACCTTATGAGTCATGGTTAAAATTAGTTTTTAGACAATAGTTTTTATGTTGCTTACAAAGTGATCCTCAAGAATGGATGATATTGCAGAAAAACGGCACATGTTATAAGTTAGAAGCCATAGGAACACTTTACAGAAACCAAAACTGGGGTTATTAGATCCTTAATAGGGAGAAAAAGATTAAGCTAACAGACAAGAGCCTTAAACATTGCCCTGGAGTCTAAAGAAAGGGATATTGGGTTGTAAGGTATTTTTTTCCTAATCATAAAAGAATTTCAGATTCACAGAGAAATAAAGAATAGTATAGCAAGCAACCAAATGATCACCACTTAAATGTAACTGTTTTTAATATACTCTTATATTTTCTTCCTCTTTTTTTCAAAGAGATTTTAAACTAACGACATGACATTTTATTCCTATATAAAACAATTTCCATCTGTAAAAGATTAAAACTTACAAATACACATTTTACAGTGATGGGATGATCTGAGAGATACAGAAGGGCTTTGTTTTGTAGACTGGATGTGCCAAGCTGTGAAGTCTAGCGAAAGAGCTTGGAATGAGGAAGGGGATTTTATAAAATTGTGTAGAGGACTTAGAGGAGGAAGAACACTGGTGCTGCTGCTGCTGCTAAGTAGCCTCAGTCGTGTCCGACTCTGTGCGACCCCATAGACGGCAGCCCACCAGGCTCCCCCATCCCTGGGATTCTCCAGGCAAGAACACTGGAGTGGGTTGCCATTTCCTTCTCCAGTGCATGAAAGTGAAAAGTGAAAGTGAAGTTGCTCAGTCGTGTTCCACTCTTTGCGACCCCATGGACTGCAGCCTACCAGGCTCCTCCATGGACTGCAGCCTACCAGGCTCCTCTGTCCTTGGGATTTTCCAGGCAAGAGTACTGGAGTGGATTGCCATTGCCTTCTCCGGGAAGAACACTGAGCTGAGGGTAAATATGTGGAAGAGAGCCAGAGAGAGATAGTTCATGCAGAATTTTGGTTAAATTTTGCTATTTGGTGTGTGATTTAACCATTTTCTCTATCTCTCCATAATGTCTTAATTTAAATTTCCATTTCTCCTTTGTGCTTTGGAAATTGGATCTTTTTTGACCCTGACCTTAAAGGTGGGTGGGAGTGAAAACCGAGGCTGGCCAAATGTGTTCATTGGAGCTGCACCGTTAATGTCAGAGGGATCTAGGAACACATACTTTGAAGAGTTTTAGCCAATCAGTAACAAAATGTCCTATTAGAGTTATTTATTTATTTTACAAATACATTTTTTTATTGGAGTATAATTGCTTTACAATGTTGTGTTAGTTTTTGCTATACAACAGCATGAGTCAGCTATATGTATACATCCCCCCTCACTTAAGATATATATAATTACATATATATCCCTTCCTCTTAAGCCTCCCTCCCACCCCCCATCCCACCCATCTAGATCATCGCAGAGCATTGAGCCGAGCTTCTGTGCTATATAACAGCTTCCCATTAGCTATCTATTGGTAGTGTATATACGTCAATACTAATCTATCCATTTGTCCCACCCTCCCCACCCCTTGTCCACAGGTCTGTTCTTTACATCTACATCTGTTTTCCCTCCCTGCACATTGGTTCATCAGCACCAATTTTCTAGATTCCATATATCTGCGTTAATGTACAATGCTTGTTTCTTTCAGGGTTATTTAATTACCCCTCTTTGTTTCTTGCATTGAAATAATATAGTCTGCCTTAATTTATGCAATGTCTTCTTGTGTGTAGGTCTCGGATGTGGTTTATTATACACTGCAACGGTGACCATCACGTGCCAGTATTTTGACAGCCGTCGTGGCCTTGCCCTTGGCCTGATTTCAACAGGTACATTTTCAATATAAGTGCAGCACTGCCACTCTTCAGCCTTGTAATCAAAGCTAAAAGTTACCAAGCACAGATAGGTTTACCCAACCACCCCCCAGCTACCACTCAGAAACACAACTTTTTTTTTTTTACTCTAATCCTTAGGAAATTATTTTCCACTGTAAATATGGGTGTAGCTTTCAAAACACCCTAAAGATACATATATAAAAAAAGCTGGGGCATTAGATGTCCAGTATAACATAGGAAAAGAAAACTTATGGGCCCAATAATTTGAGAATCACATCCTGGTGATAGCTTTCCTAAAAGAAGTGTTAAGTAAAGCACCTGAACCCTGAAAAAGACAGGAGAAATGAAAGGAAAATGGAGATCCTTCAGTCCACTGTCAAGAAGACCAATGCTCTATACATCTGAGTCTCTTTTTCTGTTTTGCATATAGGGTTATCGTTACCATCTTTCTAAAGTCCATATATATGTGTTAGTACAGAGTAATGGTCTTTATCTTTCTGGCTTACTTCGCTCTGTATAATGGGCTCCAGTTTCATCCATCTCATTAGAACTGATTCAAATGAATTCTTTTTAATGGCTGAGTAATATTCCATGGNNNTCGGGCCTGGTGCACTGGGAAGACCCAGAGGGATCGGGTGGAGAGGGAGGTGGGAGGGGGGACCGGGATGGGGAATACATGTAAATCCATGGCTGATTCATTTCAATGTATGACAAAAACTACTGTAATGATGTAAAGTAATTAGCCTCCAACTAATAAAAATAAATGGAAAAAAAAAAAAAGAAGACCAATGCTGATACCTCTCTGACTCCATTTACTGTGGAACTTAGTTTTTCTAAAGCACTGATTTGTGAATACATTCAACTAGTCTATGTGCATATCCAAATGACAGACTGTTTATCCTTATTATTCCTTAAATAATCAGGACCATCACTGGGCAGGGGGCAGAGTGTAAGTATAAAACCTTCTGGACTTGAAGTCTCTGATATTTTTAAGTGTTTTCTTTTTCAGGTGTATTTTTTTTCTAAGCTATTTAGAGAACTTATCAAAATTTCTGCGGCCAATATTTTATGAGTTTGTTTAGGAGATAAAGTGTCCGGGCTTACTGAAACTTGTACGTTTGCATTGCTACTTGCTAATGGGTGGCTATTCCTGAGAGGTCAGACTTTCCGATAAGCTGAATTACTTCGGTAGTGTGTCTGGCAACAGGATCCAAACTAATGTTTTGTTCCTGAAGCCAATGCAGCAAAGTGACTCTAGATCAGATTAAATTAAGCTGGATATTTACCCGAGGTGATTTAAGAAAGCTTTACCAGATAAGAAATGTGATCATGGCCCAGGAGGAGAGAGGACCAGGGTCTGAGGGCATGGTTAAGGTAGAACTGAGAGAAGAAAGAGAAAAAACAAAAGGATGGAGAATCCAGAGCAGTTCAATAGCAGTTTAAAGAACTGACAGCATCTTCCACAAGTGTGGGAAGGACTGTGAGACAGGCATGGCACCTTAAAGGACAATAGGTCTTACCTACACTGTATTTTTTTTGGCCATGCATCATGCGGGATCTTACCTGCCTAGGGGTCAAACCTGTGCCCCCCAGAATTGGGAGTTTGGACTCTTAACCACTGGACCAGCAGGGAAGTCCCATCTATACTGTATTTTTTTTTTAAGGCACTGTAATGTGACAAACCCAGACCCTGAAGCCAAATCACCTGGTTTTGAATTCTCTGTCACTCAGTAGCTGCATGGTGACAGACAAGTTACCTAAGTGTTCTGTGCAATTAAGTGTTAAGCCTCATTTTTCTGAACTATAAAATGAGGATAATAGCAGTTCCCATCTATTGGACTCCACCCTGTACAGTCTGTATTTGCCCAGCTTCATGACTAAAGAAAGAACCCAGTGACATGTGAGTAGGTATAAGTGAAGCAGGCACTGGTAAAGCAGAGGATGTTCAGAGAGCAGGAGAATAGCCACTTTGAGTGACCTGAGCGACACCATCCCACTGGGGTATTGGGAATGTTAGAGGAACATGTGCATAAGGCACACGGCAAGGGCCGTAAAAGTGTTAGCTGTTAAAGCTATCACCTAGGTTTCCCTGAACATCCAGATTTATCTGGGATGAAGGTGTTAGAAATCGTATGCTGAGAGAGTTGCTCTTGCTTTCCACTCAGTCTAAAGAGGAAACCATAAGGGCTGGACCTTGGCACACTGGACCAAAATGGACTGACTGTGGACAATCCAGATTTGGGAGAATTAGGGAGTTTTCAGTTGCAACACATAGGAAGCCAGGTGAGGAAGAAATCAGGGAGCAGTATGAATCCACTGTCTTAGTCTGTTCGGGCTACTCTAAAGTATCTTAGGCTGAGTGGCTTATAAACAACAGAAATGTATGTCTCAGAGTTCTGAGACTGGCAGTCTGAGATCAGGGTGTCAAGGTTAGCTGGGTTGGGTTCTGGTGAGAGCCTTCTCCTAGGTTGCAGACTGTTATCTTCTTCCTTTGTCCTCATATTACAGAACAGAAGAGGAAGCTTTCTGGGGTTCTCTTTAGTAAGTGCATTCATTCCATTCATGGGGCTCCACACTTTGACCTAATCACCTCCCAAAGCCCATACCTACTAATTCCATCATGTTGGGGGTTAAGATTCCAACTTACAAATTTTGGAGAGACCCAAACATTCAGTCTATGGTATCTACCATCAGTGAAAGAGGTGACAAGAAAAATAAAACACAGTAGAAATTTTTAAAAATTGAAAAAGAACCCAAAATCAAAATAACTGAATTAATGTGACTTAGTTTAAATATTGTGACCTAGATGAAATAAAGAAACATGGGCATAAAATGGAAATTTTGGGAATAGTCTTACTCCTTGGTGAACAGGGATTGATAAACTAATGCCCATGGACCCAGTCTGATCTACTAAGTGTTTTTTGGACAGCTCATGCATAAAGAATGGTTTTTACACTTTTGATTGGTTGAAAAAAATCAAAAGAATATTTCATGACACATGAAAATTATGTAAAATTAAAATTTCAGTGTCTATAAATAAAGCTTTATTGAAACACAGTCATACTCATTCCTTCATGATTCTTCTCTGGCTGCTTTCATGTTTCAAGGGCAGAGTTGAGTATTTGTGACAGAGCTTGGATGGCCCACTGTGGGTTAATTATTTCCTTTCTAGCCCTTTTATAGAAAAAGTCTATTGACCCCTGGTCTTGAAGAAGAGTTCATCAAGATGTACGTATATATCTTACCATTTCAGTTTCCCTGAACATCAAATTCATATTTTCCCTCTTTGTGATCATGTATACCATAGACATGCATGGAAGCATAATTAGTGCTTTATTTCACTTTTTCCTTTACATTGATGATTTTTAAATTGGGATTTTCTTTTTAAAGATTAAAAATTATAGTTTTACAGTTTACACAGTTCCACAAGAGAGCTCTAATTACTCTTCATTGCCCTGAAAGAATTTCTGCATTTTGTTTTTCGGCTGTGCCACGTGGCTTGTGAGATCTTAGTTCCCCGACCAAAGATTGAACCCAGCCCCTTGGCAGTGAGAGCATGGCGTCCTAACCACTGGACCACCAGACTATTCCCTGCTGTATCTTCCTAAGTCATGACTACATTCTCATGGGATGTAGGCTGAAAACACTAACATCCAAAGTGGAATTTTATTTTGCTGCCCTGTCATACACTTAGCATATCATAGGTTTTTGATAAACCACCTATTGAAGTGATTTGATATGCTTCCCTTAATATTTCATAATTTTGATAGATAAACTTAGTTGGTGAGCAATGGGGAATTCTTTACTTTCTCCAGATCAAAATATTTAACTTTCAAAACACCAAGAATATTTTAAAGTAATTATATGACACTTTGTTAGAACTTCTACAAAGCAATGGTGTTAGAGAAAATATGAATTAATAGTAAATGAATGCTAATGCACTATGGAAGTGCATGAAATATAGTCCTCTTTTCAGTTCTTTCCATTTGTCTTCTGAAGTGATTTTAACCTTTGAAGTATGTGCCACTTTTAAAAAGATAAGGAAGAATTCAACTTGTATACTTTTATTACTTAATAGTCAGCACAGGGATATTTCCTAAGTAGCCACAAAAAGATACTGTATTAACTGTCATTACACTAATGTGAACTATTGATTAATGTTTGTAAGCAAAGTTTTTTTCTTTGGGGATAAAGGAGTTAATTTTAAATATGTTAGGAAGGGACAACTGTGGTACCAAATTTTTTTTTTTAATAATTCTAAGAGTCATTTGGTTATTTGTAATTTTTACAATAAGCTTGGCATCCTGTGGGGATTATGATGTAATTTGGTATAGACCATTTAAAAAGTATGATTAACCTCTTTAGACTAATTTTTTTTAAATTACAGATCACTTTCTTTCCTATTTTTTTTTTGAGTTGACATTTCTCAATGATGTTTAAATTTTAAAATACTCAATTAACAACTTGAAATCAGAACCACATAAGAAAACTTCAAATTAATTCAGCTGATGTAATTTGCTATTCCAGTGTGGGTCATGTGATCTACTTAAAAAATAGTGTATTTACAGTGTTGCACAAATGTGCAAGCAGACATACTTTGTAATTTTAATATCCTATTGAAGTTCACTTTACTTTCTCATAGTTTATTAATATCAATCATTCATTCTGATGATTAGCAATGGATTTGAGCTTCCCTTGTGTCTCAGATAATAAAGAATTAGTCTGCAATGCAGGAGACCCAGGTTCGATCCCTGGATTGGGAAGATCCCCTGAGGAAGGAAATGGCAACCCAGTCCAGTATTCTTTCCTGAAGAATGCCATAGACAAAGGAGCCTGGCAGACTACAGTCCATGGGGTTGCAAAGAGTTGGGCATGACTGAGAGACTAACACACTTGAGTTAGCAAACCACTATAAATATCCTACAACTAAAATATTAATATATTCTTCACCTCAAAAAATAAAATATGAAAACTTTTCTTTTCCAAAAGGAATACATATAAACCATGGAGCCTGTAAGTACTAAAAATGTAGTTGCGTAAGGTATTTGTTAAGAACATAGGTTCCTGGGGTCAGACTGAGTGCAAATCCTACTTATGCCACTTGTAGCTTTCTGATCTGTGGCAAAGTTCTCAACCTTTTTAGCCCTAGGTCACTTCAAGTGTACACTGGGAATAATAATAGGACGTACTCAATAGGAGGGGCTTCCCAGGTGGCGCTGGAGGTGAAGAACCCACCTGACAGTGCAGGAGACACCGGAGATGTGGATTTGATCCCTGGATGGGAAGATCCCCTGGAGCAGGAAATGATAACCCACTCCAGTATTCTTGTCTGAAAACTTCATGAACAGAAGAGCCTGGCGGAGTACAGTTTATAGTCACAGAGAGTCAGACGTGACTGAGCAAACATAAGCACTCACATGCGCACAATAGGATTATTGTAAGGAAACATTATTGTGCCATGTAAAGTATTTAACACAGCGTCTGAACTGCAAATGCTAGTTTTAAAAATAGATCTGTCAGTGTTACTATTGTTGAGGTCATCATCGTCATCATCTTTAGTTTTCTTGTTGTGATTTTAATATGAAGGCACACTCATATGACCCAGCAATCCCACTTCTGGGCATACACACCGAGGAAACCAGATCTGAAAGATACACATGCACCCCAATGTTCATCGCAGCACTGTTTATAATAGCCAGGACATGGAAGCAACCTAGATGCCCATCAGCAGACGAATGGATTAATTCATTTCAATGTATGACAAAAACCACTGCAATGTTGTAAAGTAATTAGCCTCCAACTAATAAAAATAAATGGAAAATAAATATGAAGGCACACTCATGAATGCCAGTGTGAAAAAGAAATTGAACTGTAGTACTAACAACGCTTGTTCTGAGAGTCCCAATGATAAGAGGTTAAGATTAAACAGTTCCCATTTCCTTTTTAGGTTCAAGTGTTGGACTTTTTATATATGCTGCTTTGCAGAGACTTTTGATTGAGTTCTATGGACTGGATGGATGCCTGCTGATTGTGGGTGCTTTAGCTTTAAATATATTAGCCTGTGGCAGTCTGATGAGACCCCTCCAGTCCTCTGACTTCCCTTTACCTGAGAAAACAGCTCTGGAAAATGTACCAGATAGGTACTTGATTTACAAAGAAAAAGACAAGGACCTCGAAGAAAACATAAACATGCTTGAAAAGAGCTACAGTGGGGAAGAAACATGCAAGGGCACCTTAGCCAGTGGTGACTGGAAATCAGAGAGTCTGCTTCATAAAAACCCAACAACAACGACACACACACAAGAGACTGAAACGTACAAGAGGAAAGTTGCAGAACCAAAATATTTTTGCAAACAGCTTGCCAAGAGGAAATGGCAGTTATATAAAAACTATTGTGGGGAAACTGTGGCTCTTTTTAAAAACAAAGTATTTTCAGCACTCTTCATCGCCATCTTTCTCTTTGACATCGGAGGGTTTCCACCTTCGTTACTTATGGAAGATGTGGCAAGAAGTTCAAATGTGAAAGAAGAAGAGTTTATTATGCCTCTTATTTCTATTATTGGCATTATGACAGCAGTTGGTAAACTCATTTTAGGGATACTGGCTGACTTCAAGTGGATTAATACCTTATATCTTTATGTAGCTACCTTAATAGTCATGAGCCTGGCCTTGTGTGCAATTCCATTTGCCAAAAGTTATGTTACGTTGGCACTACTTTCTGGGATCCTAGGATTTCTTACTGGTAATTGGTCCATCTTTCCTTATGTGACCACAAAGACAGTGGGAATTGAAAAACTAGCCCATGCCTATGGGATATTAATGTTCTTTGCTGGACTTGGAAATAGCCTTGGACCACCAATTGTTGGTAAGATATTTATCTTAAAGTAAGCCCATTTTACTGTTCTTTGTAATGTCTCTGAATTCAGGAATTGCTTTTGTAATAATAGCACAGATTTATAGAAAATAAATCTGCTTGGAATGCCTCTTGATCATGATTTATTCAGAATCACTTTGCTATAGTTGGAAAAGCCAATACACTTGCTCAGGAATTTATGTTTATTCTTCATTTGGGAGAAACCCAAAATGCCTGCTTAGTCTTGTCCAACTATTTGAGAAATTCTCCTCTAACTCCCATTAGGCCACTTTGGGAGTAGAACTGGGTAATGTATATCCTAATCTGAACTGTATATAAATGTTTTAGTTAACTTTTTTATTAGGGTATAGTTGATTTACAATGTTGTGTTAGTTTCTGCTATATAGTGAAGTGAGTCAGTTATACATATATTTACTTCTTTTTAGATTCCTTTCCCATGTAAGTCACTACAGAGTATTGAATAGAGTTCCATGTGCTATTAAGTAGGTTCTTATTAGGTTAATAAGGTTCTTAATAGGTTCTTATTAGTTATCAATTCTATATATATAGTAGTGTGTATACATCAGTCCCATGAACTGTGTTATATAAATTGATGAGATTAGAGTATTCCTATACATACTATGTCTATCAAACTCACTTTTTTCTTACTCTCTTTTCAGGTTGGTTTTATGACTGGACCCAGACCTATGACATTGCATTTTATTTTAGTGGCCTCTGTGTCCTGCTGGGAGGTTTTATTCTGCTGCTGGCAGCCTTGCCTTCCTGGGATACATGCAAAAAGCAACTCCCCAAGCCAGCTCCAACAACCTTTTTATACAAAGTTGCCTCTAATTCCTCTAATGTTTAGGAGAATATTGGAAGGCACTAAAGACTGTTTTCACACAGTGAAATTTCACTGTGCCTGATCTGAATGACTTTTTTTTTTACACATCCTTTATGTACTGTATATGTAGACTCGATCCCCTATGTTTTCTCTCCCCCCTCCCCCCCTTTCCCCAAAAGTTGGACTACTCTGTTTTACTATTATTCATGAGTTGTGGATATTGTGAACATTTTGGCCAGCCTCAGAAGACTTTCTCTGAAAGAAACATCATTTCTCTGCAGACTCCAATAGTTCCTCTGCAGGGCAGCCAGAGGAGACTCTGCTATTTTAAAACTGATGCAAGCAGCGTGATGAGTTATGTGTGAAGGCCGCCAGGGACTAAAACACTTTCTTCTCTCTGTTAGACTCTCTAGTACATAAAAGACTTCGAGCCAGTCAGGAAATGAAAATGGTCCCTAAAACAGCGTTAAGAATTGCCGTGGCACAAACTGGTCATTTTTTAAAAACATGATTTTTAAATTCCCATCCCCTGTTTTCATGATTTTGTTTACCTTGATAAAGCACCCGCATGTTTGGTGCCCATTGAGGACACATCCTTTCAATTCCTAAGGTGTTTGCTGAGATCCAGGCATTCTCCAAACAAAGGGGTAGTTACTGTAGCCTTTCTTCCTGGTTGGTCGCTGGAACCTCGCTCACTTTTGTCAGCAGCCGCTCAGTCATGTTTCCCAAGAAGTGCTGACTTTACCTGTTTCCAAACTGGAAATGCATATTTAAAGCATTCCGTTCTGGCAAATGGGAAACATCCATTTGCTTCAGGCACAGTGGGGATGAATTGCCAGTCTTTGCATATCTTCTCAGTGAAGCATTTATTTGCAACTATCAGATTTTACTGCTATCCAATTTTAATTCAAGGGCAGAACTAAAAAGTGTGTGGGTGGTATGTGTGTGCATGCATGTGAGCATTCTGCTCTGTGTCTGTGTGCTCTATGGAAAGGGAAAGGGGCAATAAGAAATTGATACCCTCACCCAACTTTATTCAATCATAAGAAAAATATTCTAGGAAGAAAATCAACATTTAATAAATTGACTTTTTTCTAAAGAAATGTTTTTTTAAACTTTGCTATGCATCAGAGTCTTCTATAGATCCTTTTTAAAATGTAGTTGTCTGAGTACCACTGGTAGAGATTTTAATTATGTAGGTCTAGGCTGTGGGCTAAGCATCTATATTTTTAATGAACTCTTCAAGTGGTTCTGAGAGCACAGCCTGAATTGAGAATGACTTTTATAAGACTGGCAATAGAGAAACATTTTTTTTCTCTTAAAAAATAAAACCAGTCAACCATTGAGGTGAGGGTTTTTTAATAAACAGCCAAGTTTGATTCTTTAAATAAGAGGCACTCTGCCCATTGTGCCAAAATTGTCTTTTCATTTCTTTTGAAATAGGTAAGGTTATTTTATATGTCTATGTTGCCTTTCTTCGAAGGCACCTGAAGCACTTTATAAGCTTGAATCCCCACAAAACCTCAGTGAGGTCGGTAAATAGTGCTTTTCTAGGCAGGAAACCTGGAGATGTGGGGAACTTCATACCTGAGTGAATCCTACTCAGTAACCCAATCATGGGGCTCCAAAGTGCCTTGGACTTCTGCTCCATATTCTGACTTCTGAAAAGTTTTCTGTACCTCATTCTTTAGTCACTGTCAGGGTAGTAAGTAAAATAAGCAACATTCAAAAAAAAATTAACTGAAATGTTTTTGTGATAAAAATTCTTTTTTGCCAATATCATGTTCAGGAAATCCTATAACCTTTTTTTATTGTTTTAAACTTTTATGCCATCCCCACATTCGTTAATGTTGATACTTGTCCAAATGCATCTTCACCGTGTCTACTAATATCATTCAATGTGTGCATTATCCATTGTCTTGGGAATAAATTTTATTACAATAAAATTTTTTTTGTTTGTTTTTTTATCAGTGTGGTTGCTTTTTATATTCTTAGCTGCCATACCCCCAGCACTGAATTACAGTCACACTTTACTTGAATGTAAAAATATGAATTCTCTGATTTCACTTTGGATCCAGAATCTGGTGAGTTAGACATTAGCATATTCAAAGTCATTTCATGGCTAATTGATGAGGAAAAAGTTGAAACTGGCAGACTTTATTTTTGGGAGCTTCAAAATCACTGTGGACAGTGACTGCAGCCATGAGATTAAAAGATGCTTGCTCCTTGGAAGAAAAGCTATGACAAACCTAGACAGTGTATTAAAAAGCAGAGAGGTCACTTTGCCAAAAGTGGTCCGTATAGTCAAAACATGATTTTTCCAGTAGTCATGTACAGATGTGAGAGTTGGACCATAAAGAAGGGTGAGTGCTGAAGAATTGATGCTTTTGAACTGTGGTTCTGGAGAAGACTCTTGAGAGTCCCTTGGACTGCAAGGAGATCAAACCAGTCAATCCTAAAGGACATCAATCCTGAATATTCATTGGAAGGACTGATGCTGAAGCTGAAGCTTCAATACTTTGGCCACCTGATGGGAACAGGTGATTCATTGGAAAAGATCCTCATGCTGGGGAAGATTGAGGACAGGAGGAGAAGGGGATACAGGGGACGAGATGGTTGGATGGCATCACTGACTCAGTGGATGTGAGTTTGAGCAAACTCCAGGAGTAGTAAAGGACAAGGAAGCCTGGCATGCTGCAGTCCATGGGGTCGCAAAGAGTTGGACATGACTTAGCAACTGAACAACAAAATTATTTTGACCATTAGTTTCCAAAAAAGCTAAAATGTCATTCCTACAGAATCCTTTTGAGGAAAGGGGGATGGACTCCCCTTTGGAATTCTTAATATTGATCTTGCTAATCATTAATGGAATTCTTGGTATGTTCCAAGCACATTATGTTATTCATCCCTCATAATAGCCCTGTGAAATGGGGATTCTGACCCTCTTTGTATGGTATAAAACATAATTGTCATGGTACAAATGATGTACAGAAGTCATTTCCAAAAGCAAAATGAGAAATATTTCTAGCAAGCCCTTTGATTTCTAACATGGTTAGGAAATAGGGCCTAGCTGGAAGATTGCTGCAAAGCCAGTCCTGTAGTGAATAGATGAATCATGTTTATGAAGATAATTATTCATGACTTGCCTATTTCCCGAGTATTTAAAAATACCATTTAATAAAATTTTATTGATTAGAATATGATCTTTCTTTTCTGACTCAGAAGATATTTCCTGACATTCCAAGTGCCTAGGGTTGATTTTGGGAAATGTATGAAATAAGAAAGTTTGTTAGGGACCCTCTTCCCTGACTTTAACAGCTCCTCATTCTCCTTTCTGCTTCCTGCCTCTCTCCCTCTCTCTCATGAGCCTCCTAGGAGCCAGTTGGTGATCTAATATTCTCTAGGGTGACTATGTCTTCAGAGAAGTTTCAGGCACCAATGTTTAAAGGCCTCAAGAGGAACAAGCCCAAGAATCAGGAGTTCCTGCTCTGGGAGGTCATGACCGAGCAGGATGGCAGTTTTCTTGTGCTGGCTGAAAAGTCCTGTGACCTGAGATAGCCTCAACTTCTAGCAATCATCATAGGATTATCTCAACCCAGGATGTTACGGGAAATGAAGAACTTTGTTTTGAATAAAAGAATGGCTCCTTTTTTCTTTGGCTTGGACAGAGTATTATATTGAACACGTAAAATACACAATTTACATGAACAGTGCTGTACAATTTCTCTTTTGTTAGTAACAATCTTGGGACCTTTTGTGCTACCGTCAATTGTGTCTGAAGAATGTCAGTTAGTAAGATGCCTCTTTGAGTAAGGAGTTTAACCACAATCAGTTAAAGATCCAAGATCTATGAATAATACATGGATAATACTTGGAAAGCTGGTGTACATACTTATTAAGGTTGTGATTCCAGTTCCTGTGGCTGGGTGATTGTGAGCAAATTATTTAACCTCTGAAAGCCTGTCTCCTCATTTGTCATACACATCATAGGTCTATGGTGGAAATTAAATAAAATAACCTATATGTATAACTGCCCTATGTTCATAAATATTAGCTATTATTATTTTTGTTATAGTCCTTACTCTTGTGTGGCTTCTAAGTACTGGGGCAAGTATCAAGTATTCCCAGGCATAGAAGTGGGGTAAATGTTTGTATTGAAGGGTCTTATTTAGGAGAATAAGCCTTCTGTTATCTACAACTTGTACAACTGTCACAGTTCTTGCCCTCCCCCAAGCATGTTCGTCTCAAAATCTTTCATCCTTAGGGATTCATGACTCAGCACATTTTTCTGAAATTGCCATTCAGAAGCTTTGACACAAAACAGAACAAAACACACGCTGTTCTTGCACAAATCACATAGAATCCACTTTGTAAACTGAGTTACTATGGGAATTTGAGCTTTTGTTTTTTTCCTTAAGAACCCATCACCCAAGCTGCTTGGAAGGCGGGACTGAAATTGGGCAGAAAGCAAAAGACTCCCGTTTGTTTATTGAGCACTAATTGGCTTCAGCTCAGGGCCTTTACCTCACTGCCTGCCCAGTAGGCCTTTGAGATTTACCCTTGAGGGAGTGTCATTCCTTGCCAGATCCTCTGGGATTCTATTCCTAGCAGGTCTCAGTCACATTAGTAGCTTTTTGCTACATACATTCCTTGTTTCATAGAATTATTTACTTTTGTCTCCCTTCAAAAATAAAAAAAAATCGTACTTTTAAAAGTTTTGTCAGTTTTCTCTAATTCATAGTCTAAAACTTTTGGTAAACAGCATGTTTTCAAAAACGAATAATGAGCTGAGGTTAAGGTGTTGAACTGCCATAGGTCACCTTAAACTATATAGCCACAGAACTATGCCTGTTTTTTCCTTCCTGGGAATCATTCCCAATGTGATGAGACGAATTATTATTTGTCCAGCTTAGATCTGGACTCCCGAACATCTACAGTTTTCGGAGGCAGTTGCTAAGACTAGCCCAGATAACTCTAACACCGAAGGGGACCAGGTGGAACTGGTTAGATCAGTCTCCAAGGAAGGATGGAACAGGGTCAGCAACTCATTTGCAAAAAGCCACTAAGGCTGCTGGGAAGCTGCCATCTTGAAAAGTCCTGGGAAAGGTTAAGCGAGAACGAGAACCAGGTAGAGGAATCATTTGAAGCCAGTGAGAGGGCCATGGTACACAGAGCCAGGATGAGCTCAGGTCCCTGGACAGAACTGTAAATAGAGTATAGGTTTGTTCCATAAAATGGGGCCGTTCACTGCCCAAGACTGAAAACAACTGTAACTTCCGAGAGGCATTTTAGCAGTCACCAGCTGAGAGGAATAAGAGGAAAAGAGCTTTGTCTCTGCCTTGTTCTCAAAGAATGAGCAGTCGGCTTTGATGTTACTAGGTATGGATGTGCCTAAGAAATGTGAGAGAAAGCGTGTGTGTGTGTGTGTGTGTGTGTGTGTGTCCATGCAGGCACGCATGTGCACGTGCGTGTATGTGCTTGCGCGCATGCGTGCCGGTGTGTGGTGCGTGCGTGAAAGAAAGGTTGAGAGAGACGGGGAGGGGTGGGTCTTCATTACCTCAGACGGCAGCCCACCATGAAATTTCTCAGGAAGACCTTGTTTCAGGACCTGGAGCCTCCCAGTCTTTCCAGAAAGACCTGAACATTGAAGACCTCTGGGTTGTTTCTAGGCAAGAGGAAGATTCTTTTTAGCTGGGCTTCTTAAAGGAAGTTAGAGGTATTGATAGATTTTCTCTGTGGGTCATTGGCTTTGCCTTAGGAGGAGTTGCCTAACCCCCGCCCTTGGGATCTTCGGGAAGGGCGTGGGCTCTGGGTAATAGAGACAGAGGCTCGGCGCCTAGTGAGCTAGGACTGGTCTGGGAGTAGGCGCATCCTCCCAGGGAATCTGCTGAAACGCTGATGGCAGTGGTAACGCCCAGGGTCCTGGTAAGCTAACCATTGGAGATAGGTGGTAATAAGAAAATAGCTTGGCATGGGGGAGGAAGCATGGGATGTGGAGTCCAGCAGAGCAGGCTTTTACTTCCCAGCTCCTCCAGTTACCACCTCTCTAGATGGGTACTCTTCAGTTTGTTAAGCTTTCTGGACTCAGCTTTTGTTACTGGTGAACTGTACAGTTGGAACGTTTAGAAATAATATATGCAAAATGTCCAGTGTGTAATTGTTTCTAAAAAAGACATTCTTTTTAATCCTTGCTCCCACTTTTCTCTTAAAGGAAACCTCAATATCATAAAAATAAGTAAATGGTAAAGTAGTAGATACACAATATACAGTAGATTGAATTCTTGTCTCACTGGGCATATTATCAAGCGATTGTTCTGCAAAGCAGTTTTGTGTGTGATGGTGGGGCCATCGTTTTCGTAGAGTAGTATGGGACAGTGTATTACTACTAGGTTTTGCCCTAGATGCTAGAAATACAGGAATAATTAAGAAAGCCTGTTGCCCTGAGGAGTTAATGGTTTAATAGGAGCAACTGATATCCAATTAAGTATAAATGCAGAAGCCACTTTTAAAAACTTAATTTATGTATCCATTCAACAAATTTTTATTTAGCACTCATTGTGTGCCGAGTATGCAGGGCTTCCCAGGTGGCGCTAGTGGTAAAGAACCCGCCTGCCAATGCAGGTTAGACGTAAGAGACCATGGATCGATCCTTGAATCGGGAACATCTCCTGGAGAAAGGAGTGGCAGTCCACCCCAGTGTTCTTCCCTGGAGAATCCCAAGGACAGAGGAACCTGGCAGGCTGCAGTCCATAGGGTCGTGCGACTGTTGGACACGACTGAAGCGACTTAGCACAGCATGCTGAGTATGCAGGTGTTGAGATAATGGTGAGGATCAAGACAGGCGTAGCCTTGTGTTCACAATTATTTCTTAGAACACAAAGTAGATCCCATGCCAGCACAATATTGTAAAGCAGTTATCCTTCAATTAAAAATAAATTGTAAGAAAAGTAGATTCCATGGTGTCAAT